GTGTGTAACACCGGTCAAAGTTTGACATTTCTCTGGCCATTATCTCCGTAACCGTTCAACTTTGGACATAGGTGTTTTGGGTTATATCGGCATACTTTAACATAAGGAACACCCTCCCGAAGTTTGGTCCATTCCTCCTGAACACCCTGTATACATGTGTCCCATTCCGAAAGGTTTCAAATATAAAGCTATTTTACTGAACAGTACACTGTACGCTGTACAGACGGGCAACACGCCATGCCCTCACACGAGTTGCACCGAGATAGAGCTATTTCACCGTACAGTACACTGTACACTGTACAGACGGGCAACCCGCCATGTCCTCACACGAGTTGCACCGAGATAGAGCTATTTCACCGTACAGTACACTGTACATTGTACAGACGGGCAACACGCCATGTCCTCATACGAGCTGCACCGAGATAGAGCTATTTCACTGTACAGTACACTGTACATTGTACAGACGAGCAACACGCCATGTCCTCACACGAGTTGCACCGAGATAGAGTTATTTCACTGAACAGTACACTGTACGCTGTACAGACGAAGTTCATTGAAGTTGACGGTGGAATTTTCGACAATGTTTAATGTTATGTAAACTGTACCAACTTTGATACTGGAACAATAAATGCCAGTATTGAAAACAGTATGTAATATCTTTCTCTTGTCAACAATTTTGGAACTGTAGAGTGAAATAACTGTATCTCGGAAACCGTTCGGAATGGGACACATGTACATGTACAATTTTGTGCTTAGAATGACCGATACTGTGACCTCCCAGAATACTGACCTTCCCACCTGGGCACTCTGGATACAGAGGTAAACTCTCTGAACAGGACTGAACTGACTATGGGTGGACTGCAGTGGCGAGGTTTAGGAATAATCCAGTGAAGTAAATTCCTTGGTTAGCTCATTTTACTATAAATTATCTAAGGAAGATCCTACAAACTTAATTTAGTTACTTAGTTATTTTTATTTACTGTCTGTCCTCTCTAACTGTCAAGCTATATGAATATTTGGTTGCATGGATAATAAATTATATAAGTATCAGTCAGATGGTAATAGGTTTAGATATTCATTAAGAAAACTGTTCTTTTATGAATAGCTAACTAATTAATTTTATAGTTATTTCACATAAATCATTTATATCACAGTTCCGTCAACAATACAACCACTTTATTCCTTAGAATTTTCACTTTTTACAACATGTTTCGGCCCCAACCGGCCATCATCAGGGACTTCAACTCGCCAAAACTCTTACCTACATTTTACAGCGGTCATACATTTCGCGTGTAACTGCATTGTTCCGTATTAATGTTGCGGTTACATCCAGCTAACATCAGTAAATCACCATGCACTGTGACTCACTTTCTGGTGCAATTAATGGCGGATTGACTATGTTAGCTGGATGTAACCGCAACATTAATACGGAACAATGCAGTTACACGCGAAATGTATAACCGATGTACAATGTAGGTAAGAGTTTTGGTGAATTAAAGTACCTGATCTTGTTGGGGCAGAGACATGTTGTAAAAAATGAAAATTCTAAGGAATAATGTAGTTACATTGTTGACGGAACTGTAATATAAATATTCTATGTGAATGTTATAATAATGCAACAGGGTATTTAAATAAAATGTTATAATTATTTAAGGAGGAAATTATACAGTTAGTTTATTTAGATTCTAAACAGTGAGTTAGTTAAGAACCTAAGTTGTTCGCTTGTTACCTCTTTAACTGTTTAGGTGAGCATTTATTTGGTTATATAATTAGGTATTTAATTATGTATTTTTATGGATGCTATTAGGAATCCGGGATAGCTCAGTCGGTATAGCGACTGGATACAGGCTGGTCGGCCAAGAGGTCGGAGTTCGAGTCCCAGCAGAGGCAAGATTCTTCTCCTCTCCACGTCGTCCAGACCGGCGCTGGAGCCCATACAGCCTCCTATCCAATGGGTACCGGGGCCCCTTTTCCCGAGAGTAAAGCTGAAGGGGCATGAAGCTGACCACTCACCTCCTTCTAGTGCCCAGGTTAACAATATATATATATACATAGTATATAATATACGTAGACTCCCCTATACGTCTTCATTGCGTTGTGCTTAACTATTTAAACATAGGAACAACTTTAATTTCAACTTTCTATATCTGTTATTGAACCGTTGTATGTTTCACATTAACGTACCATTCAATATGAAATTATTTGATCCGCCAGGCATGTTCTATCTATGATTTATAGTTAAACTGAATAGAAGTAATTATGTAATTAGTTTCTAGGTGGAGTTGCATGTAAGGGTAATTAGTTACTTAATCAGACCAATTTGGCTACCTGTATATCAAGATATGGCCGCTGTCACGTAGCCAGTTGTTATCTGGTAAGTCAGAGAGTGAACTAAGTTGCTATGTGGCTGTCTGCGTGTGTGGGTCACTTTAATGTCACAGCATTCGGACATGTCGCTTCATACGCTTCAACTGTTTCCGATCCGTGGACGCTACCACAAATCCATACAGCAATACGTCACAGCCGCTTTAATATAAATGTACGTTTTAACCATAAAGCCTAACTTAACTGTGCCTAGACACAAACAGCACAATCGATTTGTAGCATAAAGAAATACTGGAAGAATTTTTCATTCAAATTTCTTATTCAGTCCAGAACGACTAGTAATTAACAGAACTTGGTGATATTTATGTAGGTCATGTCATAGCTCAGGGTGCTAGTCGCCGACTTTTCGCCAAGAAGACCCGAGTTTGATTCCCGGTAGTCCAAGTCGAGATTTTGGTGAACAAAATAGCTGTGGGCTGGTCTGTCTCCAGCAAATTATTATTCCACCAATGATGCAAAGTAATGTAATTGTCTGTACAGTGGGCCTATCTCAGCGCGGGGAATCTCCCTTACTTTGCTCCCACAAGTAACTATCGTTACGATTAGGACGATTACATCGAGGAGGATGAGGTAGGGTGGGGGGAATATAGAGGGGAGAGTCAGTAAATAGGACACAAATGGGACTAAACAGCTGTAATGGGCGCAGTCCAGCTTCATGACTGATTAGGCAGTAGACGCGTATGTGTATGCTCAGAGGATGGTTTCAGTAGTCAAAAGGGCGACCGTGCTCGAGGGTTATACTACAGAAGAGCAACGTTCTGGTGTGCCTTTTTTGTGAGTTGAATGGCTCAGTGGAAAGGATATTATTAAAAAAATATATTTCCTGTTTACAATGGGAAGCGTTTGTCCCGTAAAGCGGTTCAAATCTTGGCTCAAAAACGTGGCAAACTTTCGTTGATCATGAAATTGAAACGTAGTTGCGGAAGTGGCTGACACAAGAGTCAAAAGACTTCTATGCTGCAGGTTTCGACGCACTGGTAAAGCGATGGGACAAGTGTATCAATGTCAGTGGAGGATATGTCGA